TTTCCATATTTAGATTATTGGGTAAGTTTTTGTGGGTGTGTTTTGATTCACGAACATGGATTTGGGACTTGGATAAAGTTTAATGGAATTGGGATCTAGTGATTTTGAATGAACATATATTCAACTTAAACTATCTGAACATTTTTATTGCACAGAAAATTAAGTCAAAATTTCTTATTTAGCATTTGAATATTTTGAAGGCTTGAGAAGCTTGGATTTGATTCACCCGATTTGGGATCGGTGCCCCATAATATTCTTGGTAAATATAATTTAATTAGTATAATAATATTTGTATTAAACTACTACTAGTATTAATGTAATTTAATTATATTTTTATTAAACTATTCATATCAAATTCCTATAAATAAATAAATAAAAGCTACCGGCCGGCGACTAACAGGAAAAAGGGCAATTCTGCTTTTTTCTCCCGTTTTTCACTTAGCCGGTGGAGACTTTTTTTGTGCGATTCTTTAGAACTCTCTAGAAATGGGGAAGGAAGCTTTGCTTTTATTTATTTATTTATTTTTTTTTTTTTTGAAAAAAAATAAACAACGCTAGATTATAAAAGTACTGGTTCTTGGAACTGTCCACTAGTTTATATTTTCTTTTAATTTACTCTTCCACTTTATTTATTTATTTTTAATAATTTAGTCACACTAATTTTAAATTTTCATCAATAATTTATCCTAGAAATTCATTCAATTCTCCAATATAATAATATGTATAAATGAAAAAATATATAGAGTATAATATTACATTTGTTTTAGAAAATTAATACCCATGATAAATTACAATTTATAAATAAAGTATACTCATGTTAAATGGCCTATTAAAAATTCACAAAAAATTATCTTTATCAAATTATATTATAAAAAAAATTGAGTATCCAGGCATTTTGGGCCTTACATGCAAGATTTAAAATAAAAATAAAAAAAACAATCACGACTGTGATTACCAAACATCGAAACAAGTCCGAGTCTGCGACTGACTGCGAATCACGACCCTGACCCGTCTGCGACTGACTGCGAATCACGACCCTGACCCATCCAAGGTGTTAGTAATGTGTGAGAGCGTGTCACAAAAACTATGTTTGGGAGTTGGATTTGGAATAGAAAAATATTTATTTTAAATTTTGAATTTAATTTTTTCTAATTTTAAATATAAAGTATGAATTTGTTTTCTCTAATTGTAATAAAACCATCTATGAATTTGTTTTCTCTAATTGTAATAAAACCATCTTTGTTGTCATGAGACAAATTTTAATGAAAAAAACAGGATATAGGATACGAGCAATTAAAAAATATATATATTTTTTCTTATATATACAATTTATTTTTATTTTTTTTAAAAATTATGAACCTAGATACAATTATTAATGATATGATGGTAAAAGTTACATTTTAATATTTAAAACTACTTAAATGGTGGCATTGTGGCGGAGGTGGATGTGATGGCGGGCGGTAGCAGTAATGATGGTGGAAGGTTGTGGAAGTGACAATGGCGGTGAAGGCAATTGTGGAGGTGGTGGCACGGTGAAGGCAATTGTGAAGGTGGTGGCAGTGGAAAGTAATGAAAGTACCGGCGGTGGAGGAAGACAGAGCAATGGTGGTGGTTATAGTAAAAAGTAACGGTAAAAGGCAATGGAGGTATCATGGAAGGTGATGGCGGTTGTGGTACTATTGACTTGGGAACAAAAGAGCCTTCTAGAAAGAAGGTTATATAGTTGTGAAATAAGTTTCCATTCTTTTAAAATAAATTTTCATTTTAATAGAATAATCATTCTCATTTAAAATTTCATAACAAATGAATGAATAGGTAGAAGGAACATTTCATTTTATTTTATGTTTGTGTACCAAAATGCATAAATGACTGGAATAAAAATTTCATTCTATTCCATTTTATTTTGAGCAATGATTTAGAAATCAAATACGGTAGTTATGTATTCAATTTGTAAGAGAAGGATGATTGATCCCATCACGGTGACATGATTGACATCCCATGGTAAACTCTATCAATTCACTCACGTATAATGACTAATTTAATCCTTAAATCATTCCCCTTTTTTTTCATTTTTTGTGCATAAATGGTTAAGAAAAAAAATTTTATTCACATTTTATTTCATTTTTGTGTACCGAAAATGGCATTAATGTAGGAGTATTTTTTCATTCGCAAAGTGAAAACATTACCTAAAAAGGCGCAAACAAAATAATAATAATAATAATAAAAGTAAATATTACTAAAGTTACTAAAGTAAAGGTAGTGTGAACAGCTGTAAACCATTATAGCATCATGGTTTACAGTTGTAGATAATTATTCATTTAACAAAAACACTAAAAAAAATTAGGCTTTTTCGCCATTTTGTGTTAAAAAATTAGTTGACAAGAAAAAAAAAAATGTGTTGAGGTCGTGACTAAAAGTCCGTGAGACCATCTCCAATGTAAAAAAATTATTTTTGTATGTCAAAATTATATTCTGAGAGGTGTTGTAATGTCAAAATATTATATTTTAACAATTCTGCTCCAATAGAAAATTCGGGAGTATCACACTCGTGTCCTGACAACGACTGGAAGGATGAAATCACATCAAATTTTTCTTCCTTCTTTCTCTTACACTTCCAAGCCGGACTTCTTCGTAGTACTTCAACGCAACATTGTTAATTGATCTTATTATTAACTAAGGGGACGGAATAGACTTAATAATGGATATAATGACATTAAATGATCATTTTGTCCTTACGTATTTGTAAACCGGGTTGGGACTTGGATAGCGATTTGGACTTCCAAATTCGGATCATTACAGCTCGTATCTCGAACACTCTTTCTGCAAAGATGTTCGTGGTGGAAAATCTCTTTAATGAATAAGTAGTAAGCTTTCTTTGTTGAAAAAAGCTTTAGGAAAGGAATGGGGAGACTCATCCGACTAGAGCTAGCGGGATAGCTCCACATGAGAGTGAAGGGTGGCAACCCCTTGCCCTTGCGAGCTTAACATTCCGTTTTGTCAAGGAGGTGCCAAGTAGGATCGGAAATGATCCCACCAAAGTTGGCCAGGTATACAGATAGTGCCACGTGGATCACGACAGGACGTGATTATCTACACCCACAAACTAAATCTGCATAAGCAGCGAGATTCTCTCCTCCTCCATCTTGCCAACAAATTTGTTGCAACTTCGGACACCAAAGCTTACTCAAGTGAGCTTCACACAGGGAATGGTACATGTGCCGACACGTCACATGTATGTCCTACCAAGCATAGTCTTTTTTTTTTTTTTTTTTAGACCTACTAAGCATAATAAATAATTGAAATATTGCTTTTAAGTGTTAACAATTCTTTGGTTAATTGTTACACAATTTTTTTAAGGGATTATTGCATAGCCTAATGAGTGAAAATTGTGAAATATGTCCATGTGAATACTGTATATATATACACACAAAAATATATCTTACCCTTGAAAATAAAATGCCTGCTAAACAGTAAAAAATTAACTTTCTTCCAATCTCGTTGATTTGAAAATCTAATAATTATAACACATAATTACACAAGACAAAAATGCTCGAATTCATACCACATAATACACAGTTTAGGGATGGCCCAGTACACAAATTCATAAAAATTAATGGGTTAGAAAACTTAAAAAAAAAAAACCAATATCTGAAAATTGTTATGTACAAACATCATGTGGGGTCCACACAAGCTCAAAGTCCATATTTATGTGCGATTTACAATGCAAGTTGTATTTGTAATGATGACCCAAAAACGTAACCAGAAAGCATACGTAAGTGGTTATCGAGGGGAAAGTTTATCTATACATAGGTGTTTTGGAACATTGTATCGGTAACATAGGTGTTTTGTAACATGTATTGTAACTCAACAATGAATAAAGCTAAAGTGCGAAAACAACAACAATGAATAAAGCTAAAGTGCGAAAACAACAAAAATGAATAAAGCTTTCTCTTTCTATGTTGCTTTCTCTTTCCATATCTATTATACAGAAATAAAATTTTTGGCATTATTTTGATAATTGGACCCTACTTGTAGAAAAGTTTGAAATTTATTTTAAACAAGGGTGAGGACCAAATTGAAATTATGCTTAGAATGCGCGTGAATGGGTAGAAAGCAAGAATGTGGGCTCCTCCTTTATCAAAGTTGAAATTAGACCCGAAAAAGGGTCACAAACACACATGCATCAACATCACACACAATGGATATACAAGCATATATATATATATATATATATATAAAGCCAATAAAGAAGACGCAGCAGGTTTGTTCACGACTCTTCAACTACTTAGTTTCCACCTCCATTGATTGTGGTAGGTATATGTTTTCACCTCTTGAAAAGTTGAAAGACATGAAGGAAAGTAAATTTATCTTCCAGACAAAAAAAAAAATTGTAGAAGGGTTTGGTACATTCTTGATCATTCCAAGCTTTTTGTTGTCCATAGATTTCCAAAGCTTCGAGCTGGGTTGATACCAAACCCTTCTACAATTTTGGGTTGTCCATAGATTTCCAAAGCTTTTTGTTGGAATGGTGGCCAAATCAACCATGAACACAGTGAACCCAATAGGAAGTGGTGCCAGAGTTCAATTATATATAAAACTTTTAATTAAGACTTTAGATACCAAGATCATTACTTAATGCAACAATATATGTAGAAATTTAAACTATATATAAATTAATTAACGGGAAGACAATATTCTAACAAAGTTATTAGGGTTAGTAATTTTTAGGTCCTTGATTTTCCTTTATCCATTTCTTTTAACTACTTCAAGAGGTGAAAACATTTACCTACGACAATCACTTGAGGTGGCAACAGCACGTAGGAAACTTCCTAGAAAATATAAGCAAATGGCATGGAAATATCTATATAGAACTTTTGATCAAATGAAAAATTATTATTATTATTTTTTTTCTTCACTTTCTACTATGAGGATTAATGTGGGCTCCTCCATTGTCAAAGATTCGAATTTATAATGAATTATCAGCTCCTCCATAATTTAAGTACTACCAAATCCTCTCCTCTCTTATTCTGTGACTGTCTTCAACCCTGGCACACACAGTCACACTCGCACACGCGCACACAGACACTCGCACACGCGCACGTAGACATCAACAATGAGTGATAGTGGTAGAGTGATTGAATTTGAGAATAGATCTAGTGTGGAAATGGAAATCAGAATTTTCACGCCCCCGGACAGACCAGACAGATATAAAAAAATCATCAGAATAGAACCATGTAAAACTCAGAAAGTGTTATCTCAATCTTTGTTTCCGGATCCTATAAACCATACATTTCTACTGTTTTTCACGGATGGGGTTTACGCTCGACGATTTGAACTATCACAAGATGTGGTGGGTTGTACCAATATCACCTGCGAAATTAATCACGACGGAGAATTGAATATTCAACGCTTCAAAGACAAATTGCCAGCTGCCCTTCGCATACTCAAGTTCTCTCCCTCTCTCTTTCTCTTTCTCTTTCCCTTTCTCTCACATACACACTGTGTGATATTGATGAATTTCATTTTTGTTGTCATGTTCAGGGAGAAATTGCAGTGGGGAAGAAACAAGATTAATAATAACTTACGCAAGTTTTCCACCACCGTGGTACGTCTTTCCACTACTACAACTATATATTGCTTTCATTTCTCTTGCATTTTCATATATAACATAGACGCACATGGATTGGTTTCAATTTGTGATCCGCTATGCATGCATATACAAACCAGACTTGATATTATTCATGGAGATTATTAGATTTTAGTCAAACGACGACATTTTAGAAGTACTGATGCCGGCCGACAACCTTGATGATGATGATGGTATTATTGATTAATGATATACGGAGTACTAGAAATGGGAATTGATTTGCAGACGGCTTCAATAAAAAAGTTAAGAGTTAGATGTTTACAAAATGAAATTGGAGCAACTTGAGTCATGAAATTAATTGGGGGATGTGATTTAATTGTTGGTTGTGGTTGTGTGCGCTAGGGGTGGGACTTGAGTGGACTTAACCCGAGCAACCTGAGTATTTTTCCATAGAGAAAGCAAGAGTTTTTTGGGGTGGGATTGAGCGCACCCAAGTCCCCCCCTGGATCCGCCAGTGTGTGGTAGACTCTTGTTTGGGTTGTTGCGGTCCTTATGTTTGGTGACTTTGTTAGTAGTTTTGAGCTACGCTCTATTTTTGGGTTGTCTTTTTATTGACTATAGTTTTTGGATCATGTGGGTTTTCTTGGCTGGTGTAGGTACCTTGTTTTGTAATAATATTTTCAATTTTTAATCATATAGACGAATTTGTAACCCAAGATTTCAGACTTTTATTAAATGAGAGAGAAATCCACCAGAGTACATACATAATATATGCGGAGTGTATGAATTTCTGATTCTGATGGAGATGGAAGTCTTCTTTTATTATTCTACCACCACATTTAATGCATGAATTTGAGCCAATTAAATGTCTTACTCTCTCTTCTTCTTTTATATTTACAGTTTGCAGCAGTTTAATAAAGATGGTGGTAGTCCAGAAGTACTCCAGGCTCTCAATTTGAAGCTCTTAATAAATAACTGCTGTGGTTTGTTCAGTTACCATTACTTCTTCTTTAGCTCATGCATTGACTCCTTTATATATGTGTTGTATAAATTATCTCATCAACTACGTACTTTCTGGTTTGTAATTCTCTTGAGATGATAATTATATATGGAACGTATCTGATTTGTGAGACAGAATGTAGGTTTAGATTGATCACAGTGATAATACTTAATGGTGCCTTATTTTTTTCTTAGTTAGGATTCACACACACTGCCTCCATCGGAGTTCGAATTCCTAATTTTTTATTGAAAAGTAGGAGTCTTGTACCGTTAGGCTACAGGGGGTTGGTTAATGGTGCCTTATAGTTTAGCTGTAGGTTTGTCCTATGAAATACCTAATCATAGAGAATCTGATTTTGCATTTCATCGTAACATTCGGGATACTAATGACATTGTGACGATGTCAGTCCTCACTCACATAAATCAATCCAACCTGTCTCACTTTCGAATTCTAAATCATTATCCATACTTTAATGTCAAACTAATCTTATTTATAATTTGGCAGTTCAAAAAGAGATGTTTTGGGCTGCCGCAACTGTACTTTATTCTTCTTCTTTTTTCTTTCTCCTCCTCAATCTTTCCTTTATTTTCTCCTTCATCTTCTTTTTCTTCAGCTGGGGGACAACCAAGATAGATGAATGTACGTGCAAAGACTTCATCTAATAAGCTATTCTAACAAATTTGACTACGCTTGTTTACACAATCTCTTCGTCTTCAAGGAGTGATATTTCTTTTAATTTTTTCCAAAAGTAATACATTTATTATATTTCTCAAAGAGTTGGGATCCTCTGCTATACAACATTGGTGCCATACCACTTTAGATGACCATGATCACCTCACACATGCACTACCATGTGAAGTGATGGAGGCCGTCGAAAGGACATGGCCAGAGGAGGGCCAAGCGGTCGCCCGGAGTTGGTTCAGTTCCAATAAGACCTGTTGGAGTACCCTTATTTTCAATTGTCTTAGGACTGGAGATTGTATGGTCCTTGTTAATTAACAAGATCACTGCAACGATTCAGCACTGGACCAGTAAGAAGCTCTGATTGATTAAGTCCGTTCTATGCAGCATTCAGCAATGTTACTCGATCCAGCCACCTACCAATCAGAATCATCAATGATGTAATTCTTTTTATCAAATAATAATAATAATAATAAAATGTTATAAGATGATCTTGTTTGGTCTCCTATTTCAGCAATCCTGATATTTCTATATCTCTACACTGTTTGAATTAAATTTGTCTATGATTAATTATGTTGGAGTGCATCTGTAACATCTGTTTTACATATTTCAAATTGTCCAATCCATGATGTTGAGCAACACGCTATGGGGTAAGCAACTATATTAATCCCCTACTCCCAAAAGCCCTCTGGAACTTCGCCAAAAAGACCGTTGGTTCGCAATAGGACCCGGATCAAGGTACTGAATTCGCCGAGACTTGCTGGGATATTCCCTGTAAAGGAATTAGAAATCAAAAGAAGCTCCATTAGAGTCCCATTTTCGCACAAATTCGCCGGAATTTGGCCAGAAATTTGGTTTCTTGACAAATCACTCCGAAGTGGTGAGAGGGAGTGACGAATTGATGAAGTTGTTGAAGAGAGAGAGAGGTTAGAGAGAGAAGGGAGGCTGCAGAGGAAGGTTGGAAACGGACCGGCGAGGCCGGCGTTGGAGAGGTCGACAGATTCGACGGAGCAAGTCACCGAGTTGTCGCATGTTACGCCGGTCCAGTTACAGGTTGTGTCGTCGTGTTCGTTCCAGTCGGAGAGAACACCGGCTGGGTCTGAGAGACCGAGCTTGACTCGTTGCAGATAGATGCCTTCTTGGTTTAGAGAGAGAGTGAGAGGTTGTAGAGAGAGAAAGAAGACAAGTAAGATTGCCATTGTTGTGAGAATGGGGAAACGAGAGGAACGAGATAGTTGTATTGGTGCAGTTCTGAACGAGATAGTAAATAAAATAAATGAGTATAATAATGATGATGGAGATCATTTGTTATTTATTTAATTTTTTGTGATGTTCTTATTCTTTTCATTATGGACTGGGTTTTAGAACACGGGCCGTGACAGAAAGACCCCCAACAAGAATCTTCTTCCGAGATTTTTATTCCAGAAAGAAACATGTAGACAGAGAGAAAGAGAGTGATAAATAAGATATACACTCAAAAGATTATTCCAAACTTATGAAAGACTCTTCCAACTTCATATATTTCTACCCTAAATCTATTTCAATTAGTGAGGCTTCAAGAAGCTCACTTCAATGCCAGTGTCAATCACAACATAAACTCCAGCTGCAATTAGTATCCCACTTAGGTCCATTCCCAATAGACCCAAGCTCCAATTCACCCACCACACTGGACTATATTGCTTAGGCATCTTGATCTTAAGCCACATGAAACAGGGATAAGCTAGAGTCACCGGCGACGCGATCCAAGAAGGGGATTGCCACTGCAACGAAGAAGTGTTGGAATTTATATATATATATGAGATAAAAATTATTTTATGGTCCTATATATTACGTTTTTTAAAATAGGATTGCAATATGATTATTGATACTTGATGGATTGGGTTTGTACTTTCCAATTTGGTAGTCTAATTGGGAGTATGGTTTTATACCGTTGGATTGTGGTTATTCAACTTATTTGGTGTGATTTATTTCTAATCATTGATATCTAAGTTTCTATGATAGGAAGGGAGATTTAGATATGCTTGTTTGTAGAGAAGCTGTCCTCCCTATTGTTGTTATATATAGGGGTTTTAAAACCCTTATTCAGCCCTATTGTATCGACAACTTTTAGAAGGGGAGTAAAGCGCTCTATTTTTCAGATCTCTCAAAAGGTGATAAAGAATTCTCAAAAAGGTATCTCAAGTTTAATTTTCTAATCAAGTATGAGATCAAACCCTCTCTTTAATTGATGATCAATTTTGATTTCTATTTGTTGTTTGTTAATTAAACCCGACAATTGGTATCAGAGCTTGGTTAGGGTTTGTAGAAATCAAAATTAATAAAAATTGATTTCAGATCTAATATATACAAAAGAAAAAAAATTATAATATTTGAATAGCTGTTTTGGATTCATTATTCTTTTATTCTGAAATACATCGATTCATGATTGTGTACTGATTTCTTCATTGATTGTGTCAACTGTCATTGTTAATCAGTCTCCAATGTAAGCACTGTTATTTGCGTCCCAATGGAAATTGTGTAATTTCTGTTTGCATGCACAAATATGGATTTTTATATATATATATATATATATATAATGATTGTTGTCTTTTTTAAATTAAAGTACCATGATTGCAAATCGACGTTGGCTTCCAGGCATATTTTTCAGACATATATAAAATAGTATATAAACATGGAGAACTCTTTGTTTTGATTTCTTTTAAGCATCAATAAGTTTTATATTTTTATATACATGAATCAATTGAATGTTGTTGGTATTCATGCACGCCGAGCGAGAGATATTTTGTTATCAGTTTATTATCAATTTTGTATTCTGATTTGAGCACTTAAAGTTTGGATTTGAGCACCTTTAGTTTGACCACGTGATTTACAATTTAGATTTGAAAAGTCAATGGTGATTCCATGTTATAAAAGGAACAAATGTTTTATATATATATACATATATATATTGTTTTCTTTATATATTACTATACTGTGTGCACACCGAATCATAAACAAAATCAATAAATTTGATTGTAATAATGTACAGTATAGAGTGATAATATTTAATTATTTCTTTAAATTATTCTATATATATGAGGTAGTAATTTCGTATATTATTTATTAAATTGCTCACTGACTTATTGATAGAATTCCATATAATGGTGATGAAATTGCATGACCTCATGGGTGTGCTATATATATAATTTTAAATAGAACTTCTAAAGATAAGGTCTTTCATGGGGGTTTATGAGGACCGGTAAAGTGGCCGTTTTAAAATTAATAGTCAAAGTGAGTGATGCCTACTAAAAAGTGACACGCTTATAGAGATTATTATTTTTGAAATTTTAAAGCATTGGTTTTATTGAGGTCTCATAGTGCACTTACCTACATGAGGATATTTGTTCTGCCAAAAGGTGATCAATGTCTTAGTGTGGGATAAGTGAGTAGAATATTTGAGAGTGCTTGGATTATAACTAAATAACCCTCTTGCCAAAAGGTAGTGGAAGTGTTTAGTAATAATTCAAGTATAATCAAATAGGTCTATGTGTGATTTGATCGCAAGTTTGGGATAAAATAAAATCTAAAATTTTGCTAAAAGGTGGTTTTTAGATGGTATTTTATATGTTCCTACAGGGTGGACAGTTTTGCATATAATAAAACACCCTGATAAATTCGGCTTAAAACTCCAAGCACAAATTAAAGAAATAATCCCTAAAGCTGTAACATATTATTTTATATGTTCATTTTTATGTTATTTGATATAACATGTATTACAGTTATGGACGCTTCCGCTATTCAAAGATAGCTCACAGGAATTGTGTGATACCTCCCAGATTCCCGGATGTGGGTTGGCCAGGCCCACCCCCGATTACCCGATGATATCAAACCAATTAGCAAAAATCGAACACAGAATACAATTAAGAAAACATGAATAAATAAATTGCTGAAAAGAAACTAGAATAGTAATCCAAAAATCTCAGAATAAAATTTTATTAATAAAGAATTATTCTAGATATATCCAACTTCTCCACTTCTATTACAACTCGGGAATCAATCTAGTGGACCCCTAAAAATCTCACTGAACTCAAAAGACTGGAAATGAAACCCAAGTCTAAAACATGAAATAAAATCCTGATAATCGGTGGAGTGAATGACTGTATCTGCTAAGCACGATCCAGCTGTAAGTCTAGAACTAACGAACACCTGTAAAAATAAGAGTGGGTCAGACCCACATGCAAATTCTTCTCTAACTACAATCCAAACTGTGACTCGATACGCAGATACACCCTAGATATCTCAACAATAGTTATCTAGTCCATACATATAGATATATCCATACTAAGGAACATTCACTGGACTACAGTAGGGGTCTCAACCTAAATAGAAGGCAACATGCGAAAACGCACCCAAATGTGGGCATGAGTACCCAGACCTAACAGGGTACACCTCAACCTACTATAGCCAGCTACGCATCCACTGCATATACGTACCATAACCAACGAGTTTGAGACTCTAGCTCATCTCGTGATACCATAAACATATATTTAAAATCCATTCATATCCATCCATAAGAAATCCAATAAATCGTTCAGCTTATTCAGCTGCACAGGCTTAAATATAAGGAGAATTATGTTTTTATAATTCGAACCCTTAATCCAAAATAGGTAGGACTGAGTTATTTTGAATCAGTCTGTCCCTAATATGCCACCGTCCCATACCGGTACATACAATCCACAAAATCCATATAATTGATTGAACAGGTAAAACTGTTCACCAATTAAAATCCATAAGGTAGGAATGAGCGTTTTGAGCTAAATCATACCTAGTATGTCACAGTCCCATACCGGTGCATACAATCCTCCATATCTATGTAAATTACAACATATAAATAATAAGCAAGTAATTTACACTCCAAAACCAATTATCCATATCATTGCAGAATAGTTTATACAATGCCACAATAATTACAGTTCAAAACCATAATCCAATTAATTGTAGAATAATAAATAAGATTCCACAATTAACATCCAACCCATATAAATTACAACACATAATTAACAGTTTAGCAATTTACAATCCAAAACCATCCCAAATATTTGCAGGAGACTATTTATAGTTTCAGTATTTTAAATCCAAGAGTTAAACCATGTATTTGCAGGAAACGGTTTAAAGGTTCAACAACTAGCATCCAAAGTATACGTAGATCACATCTAATATATCAATGACTCTATCATGCATTACAAATAAGTTTTATAATCATAGTATAGTCCAATCAATTGCTAAACTAATCTAGGCAATTTAGTTCCTTTCGTCCGATAATAGCGTACTAAGTTGTATACTCGTATTCTCTTGTCAAACCTTTTGTAAACGGATCCACTAAATTATCTTAATACCATTAGACAATTGCTCTCAAGTGGGATAATCTATTGAGATTATCCCACTTGAGAGCAATTGTCTAACGGTATTATGTCGTCGACGTATATGTCGAGATTTATCATTTTACATATTACTTTGTACCCTTCCAATTGCTGATTGACTATCGCAATGTATATATATAGCGGACACAGGTTTAGGTCAATTTGGAATATCTTTTAAGAAATTACGAAGCCACTCAACTTCTTCACCAGCTTTATCCAAAGCAATAAATTCAGATTCCATAGTGAATCTGGCAATACAAGTTTGTTTTAAAGATTTTCAAGATATGGTACCTCCTTCAATAGTAAAGACATAGCCACCTGTGGATTTAGAATCCTTCGTATCTGATATCCAATTAGTATCACTGTATCCTTCAAGTACTGCTGGATATCTAGAATAATGTAATCTATACCTTATGGTATATCTTAAATACCTTAGAACCCTGATTATTGCAATCCAATGGTTCTTTCCTGGATTACTGGTATATCTACTCAATTTATTAACTGAGTATGTTATGTCTGGTCGTGTGCAATTCATCAAATACATTAAACTTCCTATAATGCGAGAATACTCAAGTTGTGATATGCTAGGACCAGTATTTTTCGATAAATGAAGATTTATATCAACAGGAGTCTTTACTAGACTACTGTTTTCTTTATTAAACTTTTCTAATATTTTCTCAATATAATGAGATTGAGATAATACTAGACCATCTGATATTCTAGAAATCTTGATTCCTAGAATGCCATCAGTTTTGCCTAAATCTTTCATATCAAAATTTTTGGTCAACATCTGTTTAGTAGTTTTGATTATAACATCATTACTACCCATTATTAGCATATCATCCACATATAGGCACACAATAACATATCCAAT